AGAAGGCCAGCTCCGAGAGCCCGCCACTCCACCTCACACAGGCTGGATGACTTGGGTAAATGGAGTGACCCCTCCGGACCTCAACTGCCTCACCCCTGAAGGGCAGATGTCAAACCAACCCCACAGGGCTGCGTGACGACGCAACGTGACCACGGCTGACAAGTGCCTGGCTCCAGACTGTCGCGCTCTCAATAGCTCTCCCTCACCCTCTGTCCCGACCAGGGCAGCAGTGGCATTTGGATGTTCTAGTAGGAGAGGCCAGCGTGGACGCGACTCTGGGCTTCAGGGGAGCAGATGCTGGCGTGCCCCAGCTGCCCCGAGGTGGCGCCACTGCTCTCCCACCTCTCCAGGAAGTGCCCACCACAGAGGTGGCATGTGGCTTGGCTTGCAAGGTCTCCAAGATGCCTTAGGCAGTGCGGGACAGAGGGGAGGGGAAGCGGAGGGCGACCTGAGCCAAGGTCTGGAGACAGCACCACGCTCAGGGTACGAAGAGGCCTCTGGCTCAGCTGGCGCTGGGGTGAGCATCAGGGCAGCACCCCATGAGGCCGAGCGGTCAGCCAGAGCCCAGGCGCCAGCCAAAGGCATTTGGACTGAGCCCTGGCTAGAAGGGCTGTCAGGAAGGAAGGGATTTAGGGAGCCTGCAGGGGGGTAGATGGGACTAAGGCCCACTCTCTCCCCACTCTGGGCAGCTGATTCACCTTTGATTTGTCCTAAAATTGCCTCTTTGGGGTTTCAAGAAAACCCTGCATTGGAACTTTCTGGAGATTGGTAAACAAATCCAAGGACCCTTCTGGGCCTTTGCCCAGGCTCCATGCCCTCTGTCAGGAACACCTTTCCTCATCCCTCCACTTGCCAAAACCAGCCCAGCCCAAAGTAAATCTTTTGTACTGCTAGAGAACAATCTTAAAGACGCACTTCTTTTTTTATGGGGAGAGAGGATTTGCCATAGAGTTAGAGAGGGAAAGTGAGAAATCACCCCCAGGAGGGATGGTCGCACCACAATCCCTTCTCCTCCACTCTTTTCTTGGGATTTGGAGCACATGTGCACACATGCCCAGAGAGATTTTTCAAGCTGCCAGGTCTAGGACTTGAACTGCGGTTAGCCATGCGGGAGTCTAGCACCTTAACCACCATGCCACCTGCTGGCCCCTCCAAGACACACTTTTAGGCAGAAAAGGCAAGATACAGAACTATTTTTGTAGAGGTTCCCTTTTACATAAGAATGAGGGCTAAATAATATGTACTGTTCTTAAATATAGGAAAATATTTCTGAAAACATCCAAAACTAGATAATAGCTGCTTTTAGGGAGGAGACCTGGGTGCTGTGACAGGAACAAGTCTCGCTTTATAGTGTATATCTTCAGAGGTTGGCAGGGATATATGGGGTCATCGGAAAAGTCACGACACACTTTTGCATAGAAAACCAGAAAAAACACAGAAATGATTTATGACCCGTTGATGACGACATGTGTAGTATTCTCAGCTGGACCGGTCTGAGAAGCAGTTCATGTTGGGTAAATTCTTTTTACAAGCCAAATGATAAACAGTGATTGAATGTTTAAAAGAATGAGACGGGATATATGGGGTCATCGGAAAAGTCACGACACACTTTTGCATAGAAAACCAGAAAAAACACAGAAATGATTTATGACCCGTTGATGACGACATGTGTAGTATTCTCAGCTGGACCGGTCTGAGAAGCAGTTCATGTTGGGTAAATTCTTTTTACAAGCCAAATGATAAACAGTGATTGAATGTTTAAAAGAATGAGACGAATAGGGGCCAAATGATAAACAGTGATTGAATGTTTAAAATAATGAGACTAGGGACCAGCAGTTGGCGCAATGGCTATGTCACTGGACTCCCAAACACCCCCCACCCCCAGCCCTTTCTCTGAGGCCAGAAGGGCTAGACTGGCCTGAGGCCACCTGGGGGAAGCCCTTAGGAGACTCACCCCTGCCTGGGCCCAATGGGGGGCCCAGCGGAAGGGGTGACAGGCAGGATGCCAGCCCTCCTCCCTGAGCACAGCCAACACCGCTCACCATCCTGAATGGCGCAGTTGGCCAGGAGGTCCTTGATGGTGTCGGCGTAGACCAGCCGCATGCGCCGGCGCTCGGCAGCCACGCTGTGCTCGGTCTTCTCCTCCTCTGTCCGTGGCATGATCTGCTTCAGCTTCACCTGTTGGCAGGGGGCAGGATGGGGGATGCTCAGGGCCAGCCCCCTAAAACAGAGGGCCTGTTCCCTGCCCCATTGCATGCCGAGGGGGTGTTGACTGATACATCATACTCCTCCTCCAGTGTCCCCCCAAGTCCCTCACCATGGGCAAAGGCCTGGAGGGTGGAGGGTCACCCCAGGACATGAGGGATGGGGAGGCCCAAAGGATCCTGTGAGACAGGTAGGGCGAGGAGGGACAAAGGAGAGGGGGAAGGAGCTGAGGGTGCATCACAGCAGACGTAGGCCTTTCTCTGGGGGCTCCCAGCTGTACCCGCCCATCCCTGTGGACAATCCCAACCCCGACCCTGGCGCAGGCCGGCCATGACAGGCAGCATCGCGTGGCCAGGCGCAGCCGCCCACCTTGGAGATCTCCCGGTGGGCCACAAAGGTGGCCAGGGCCTTGCACACGCTCCACTGCTTCTCAGAGCACATGTCCTCAGAGGTCACCTGGATGCCCACCTGGAGAGGGAGAGGGAGGGGAAGGGGTGCTCACCACCTGGAGGCCCCACAACTGCAGGAGACAGGAGGTCCCCCCAGGCCAAGCCTCTGGGATTTCTGGGTCACCTACCAGGTCTAGGAGGCCAGAGACCTGAGGAAGGTTCTGCCTCTGCCCTGGGCTTCCCAGAAAAGCTGGGGCAAGTCACTTCCTTTCTCTGGGCCTCAGTTTCCTCATCTGTAAAATGGGAGTTACCTTATCTACTTTTGCAGGGTTTTCGAGAGTATTAAAACGAGACTGTGTTCACCAAAAGGCCTAAAGTAGGTGGTCTACGCTTAAAGGATGCTGGCTAGGGGCCAGTAGGTGGCTTAGTGGTTGAGGCACTGGACTCCCACGTGGCTGAATGCAGTTCAAGTCCCAGACCTGGAGGCTTAAAACTCATGCAGGCGTGTGTACACATGTGCCCGAAATCCCAAGAAGAGAATGGAGGAGAAGGGATTGCAGTATGGTCATCCCCCCGAAGAGTGATTTCTCACTTTCTGTCTCTTTGTCTCTGCCTCTCCAGTGAGCGTGCATACCCTACAGCAAAAATCCCTCTCAATAAATAAATAAATAATAAAGAGTGCTGGCTAACCCTAAAGGGTGGGCACTTGGGGAGTACCTGGGCATCTAGGAGGTGCCAGAGGCACAGTCAGGACTCCGCTGTCCCAGCCTCAGTGAGCCCTCGGGGACCGCTGGCTCTGCTGGGTGAAGTTCCCTGGCCTGAAGGCCAAAGGCGGGAACAGCCGTCTCCCCAGCTCACGGAGACCTGCCTCGGGCAGGCAGGCCCCCATGACCCCTGCAGCAACTCCCAACTAGGAACCATGCTCCCATTTCACAGATGAGCACACAAGGCTGAGGGAGGTGAGCTAACGGGCGAGGCCCAGTGCTCTCGTCCCGCCCCAGCCCCTCGGCCTCTGGGACCAGGTGCAGTGGTCGTCCTCCCTCCATTCCCACCGCCACCTGTGGGCTGAAGAGGGGGTCTGAGGCGAGGCGTGAAGACCCAGTCAGCTAGAAGTCAAGTCCCACATTGGAATCCACGTGGCTCAGTGGCCTGGGGCAAGTCCCTTCCCTCGCTGGGCCTTGGTTTCCCCACCTGCTATGGGACATGGGACAGTAAAAGCCTGAGGACCCATCTAGCCCTGACAGCCGCTTCAGAACTCAGCTGCCCGGGCCAGGGCTCCGCTAGTGTGCACGTGCTGGGCTGGGGGGCTGCGAGGGACAGACAGACAGAGGACCCTCCCGTACACCCACTGCCCCCACAGTGCCCGCCCCACACACCTCCATGCTGGAGTTGAAGGCCCGGTTCACCTTGGCCTTGATATTCACCACCTGTCCAACACTGGGGAGAGGAAAGCAGGACGTGAGCCTTCCAGAGGGACAGAGGGAGGGGACAGGGACCTACGACACACGCTGAGGGGACCTGGCATGGGACCATCATGACCTGCATGGCACAGTCACATCTGCGATGTCACCGAGGCCTCACAGCAAGGCAGAGGTGATGTCGGCACCCCAGTTAGCAGGGGGGAGGCCGAGGCCGAGAGGAGCAGCGGGCTTCCATTCATCTGCCCCCCTCCCCTGCTCTCCGCTGTCTCATGACAGTTCCGCTTCTTTGCTCTTGGCTGGGTACATGCCTCCTTAGGGAAGCCCTCCCTGCTCTCCGGCAGCCCTGTGAAGCTCACCCTCCAGAGCTTCTCCCAGCACTCCGCCCTCAGTCCTTCGCACTGGACGAGGGCTGTGTGTTTGCCCAGCACTGCGCTCCAAAGGCTGCAGACCGCACAGGCTAGGTAGCAGACAACTGATTCCTGAACTCCACACTTGGTAAATGCCTACTAGGTGCCGTGGGTTAGGAGCGGAGGGCAGAGGGAAAATGAAAACACTTAAAGGCTGCCTGCTGTGTGCCAGGCACTGTGCTCGACCTCATTTGAGCCTCAAAACAAGCTTGACAGGTGGGGGTAGGGGTGGGAATTGAGTGTCAGAGAGGTTAAGTCACCCGCCTAAGGTCACCTAGCTAAAAAGTGGCAGAACTAGGCCAGCAGGTGGCATGGCAGGTAAGGCACTGACTCCCACAAGGTCGACTGCACAATTTGAGTCCCAGACCCAGTGGCTTGAAATCACACCAGGTGCGTGTGCATGCGTGCCCTAAATCCCAAGAGGAGAATTGAGAAGGGATTGCAGCATGGCCATCTCCCCTCGGGGGTGATTCCTCACATTCCCTCTCTCCCTCTACCTCTCTGTTTCTCTGGCGAGAGTGTACACCCTATAGCAAAACTAAAAAAAATAAAAGTGGCAGACCCCCACCAGCCTCTGGCTCCCGACACCCCTCTAGGAGCTCACAACGCAGAGAGGTGGCTCCCATACACACATCTAACTCCTGTCAAGCCCTTCCGGGAGACCAGTTTACTCTCCTCTCCGGGACAGAGGAACAGGTGAGATTGCACCACAGAGACGCTATGAGCAAACAGATGACGGAGAATGCTAGGGGGCAGAGGACCAGGTCTCCTCACCAACCACACTGCAAGGAAAACAGGCAGGGAGGGCGCGCTGGTGGGAGTGTGGAAGGGTGGGACTAGCTGCAGATTTTGTTAACAGACTGAGTCATAGCAACCGATCGAACTACAGCCTTATTTGCATCCTGGCTTGAATAACAAGAATAACTGTGAAGCAAAACAAAATAAAAATAAATTCAGAAAATGGTGTGGGCATTTGAACACTGCCTGAATAACAGCGTTAGTGAGAAATTACTGTTAATTTTTTTTTTTTAGGTATGATAATATAATTGAGGTAATGTTTAAAAGCAACTCTTGGGGGCCAGCAGGTAGTGTGGTGGATAAGGGTGCTGGATTCCCACATGGCCAACCATGGTTCAAGTCTCGGACCTGGTGGCTTGCCTTCTCACTTTCCCTTTCCCTCTCTCTCTTTCTCTCTCTCTCTCGTCAAATAAAGAAAAAAAAATAACAATAACAAATGGAAATAAATAAATAAATAATTCTTTTAAAAATTATTTTTTAAAAAAGGAGTTCTTACCCCTGAGAGGGGCCCTTGGAAATATTTTTAAACAGTAAAAGCGGGGATTGCGGCGTGACCATCCCCCCTGGGGGGGTGATTTCTCGCTTTCTGTCTCTATGTCTCTCTCTGTCTGTCTGGCGAGCGCACGCGCCCTACAGTGAAAATCTCTCCAAAAAAAAAAAAAACAGTAAAAGCGGAAACAAATGAATGAACCTTCCCCAGCTTTCTGCAGGTGTGGCCAGATCTTTCCTGGCCTCTCCCCCGCTTACCCTACTTCCCAGGAGCCTCTGCGACTTTCCCTGTCATCCACTCTCCTCTGCCCAGACTCCCCTCACTCCATGGGCCCTGCAGCAGGTCCATCCATCACGCATCACCTCCAGCCCCTCTACCCCTAGTTCCCCTGAGTAAAAGAAACTGCATAGGTCACTGGAGACACGTGCATGCCTGTCCAAAGGAGACAGGAGAAATGGAACAAAGGGGGTTGCGGCATGGCCATCCCGGGAGGTGCTTTCTTACTTCCTCTCTCTCTCTCTCTCTGACCAGCAAGTGACGTGACCCGTAAGAAAAAACTAAAATAAATCAATAAAGTACAGGCTTATTTGCATGCAAAAACATTTCTGAAATCCATGCACAGTTTTTCCATAATACATATCTTCCACAAACTTTTTGAAGACCCTTCCTGCTATCTTCAGAGGCACTTTTTTTTTTTAATCTAAAATTAGTCTAAAATAGAAAATACTGAGATAAAGCCTTCCAAAGCACCTGCATGTCAGAGCTCACTATTGGCAGGAAACCCCACCTCTGCCATCCCTGCAGACTGCAAGGCCTAGGAACAGAGGTAGCGCTCTGGGGCGCTGCACACCCAAACCTGGCATGGGCGCTGGTCGAAAAGCTCACAGATATGTGAGTTCAGGGAACTGCTAAACTTCCACCTTCACTGTGACTCACTGGGCACCCAGGAAGGCCTGAAGAGGCCTATGGATGTCCCAGGTACTAGCAGTGCGGGCAGGAGCAGGCCTGGGGACTCCAACTCTGTGTGCAGCCTCTGCAGCCTGCCCTGAGCCAAGGACTCAGCGTGCTCCTCGGGTCCCAGGAGCAGGACAGGACCTGAGGGCACCGCTCTGAAGGCACAAAGCTCAGGGTGGTGTAATGAGGAGCTTTCTGACCAGTGCGTGCATTTAAAAATAAATAATTAACTCAGTTTACCTCAGGAACAGCAGATGGAATGATGGTTACATTGCTGGATTCCCACATGCCCTACTGCAGTTCGAGTCCCACATCTGGAGGCTTGAAACTCACACTGGGTGTGTGTGCATGTGTGTCCAAGATCCCAAGAGGAGAATGGAGAAGGGATTGTGGCATGCTCATCCCTCCAGGGGGTGATTTCTCACTTTCCGTCACTCTGGCGGGCACAAGTGCCCTATAGCAAAATCTCCCTTAGCAACAAAAAACGTAAGTCTCCCTTGGTAATGAGCTCTTTGTCCCTGGAGAGATGTGAGCAGAGGCTGAGTAGCCAAGCTTTTGGCTCAGGCTTTGCCAAGGAGCCTTGTCTGGGTGCCTTCCTACAGCAGCCACCAGTGACCCCCAAGGAATGCCCAAACTCAAAAAGGCATCACCGGTTAAGTCCAATCCCTTCCATTTGGCAGGTAAGAAAACTGAGGCCCAGAGAGAGACAGACTTCCCCAGGATGGCATAGCACCCCATGATACTGTCTCGGCAATGCCAGCTCCTAACCTGAAGCGACTTCCTGGACCCACCTCGCAAAGAGAACCACCCAGAGCACCCGGCAGCAGGCCAGCTCCCAGCCTACCATTGTCCCGGAGACCCTGCGATGGGTCCTCACCCCCAGAGGCTGCCTGTCTCCATTTTCAAAGCACACGGGCTGGCCAGATATGTAGACAGGGGAGAGGTCCAGGCTCGTGGGAAAACCAGAGGATCTCGAGGCAGGCGCAGCCACTTACCTGATCGTGTGCTCAAAGTACATGTCGTCCATGGAGGCCGTGACGCAAGGGCAGCCTGCGTGCCGCTCCGCTGGCATTGGAGGAAGAAAGCCAGAAGTTAGCAGCCCCCGCGTGGCACATGCCTCTGCTCCACTGTCACCTCAAGAGGCTTCTGCAACAACCTAGGCCAACAGCCTCCCACCCACACTCTGCAGGCCACGCTTCACGGTCCTTCATGGCACATACCACGGCCCGACCTTGTTCTGTACAGACAGCTGCTGTCCTCCCTCACGCCAGTCTGTAACTACCCAGGGCGAGGACTTTTCCTGTCTTGGTCACTGCTGTGCCCCACTCCTGGGACGGTGCCTGGGCTGTGGTAGACACTCAGTAAGTAACAGCTGAATGAATGAAGGCTCACACCCTGCTGTCCTGGTCCCCAGCCCCCTTGAGCACCGGGACCTTTGAGCACCTGTGTCCTCACCCTCAGGACTTGGCGGAGGTGCCTTGGCCTTCTGGAATCCCTTCCTTGTCCCCAGGGCTAGATCAGAGAGCAGTAGTCACCTATCTGTCCCCACCCCCAGACTGCTCCCCGTGGGCTGGAGAACACTGGCACAGCATAAGGAATGAAGGCGCTCCGTTAGGCCCAGCTGGGGCACGCAGCCAATGAGCTGATGCTGTCACGGCCTTTCTCAGGACTCTGTCAGGGCAGTCGGTGTCGGAGCAGGGAACTAAAGGGCCCAGGACCAACACTCAGAGCTCTCAGACTTGCAGGGGTGTGGCCTGTGTTGAATGCTGAGAAATCGGGAAGGGCACATCAGGTAGGTGGACCAGCGTGGGCAAAGGCAGGCTGAGGACCAAGCAGGCACTCAGGCAGGGCAGTGGCCATCTCTGGGAATGGAGCCGCTGCCCAGGATTTGGGGGCTGACGCGAGGGCAGCCACACGGATGCAGCCTCACCAGACAGGCAGGCGGTGGTGTCGATCCACTTGAGCAGCTGCCCCACGCTCAGCTCGCCGCGCTGGTTGGTATGGCAGGGCAGCACCAGCTGGCTCATCTGCACCTCCGTGGGATTCCGGTACTCCTCGTCGTCCGCCATGGTGCCAGCGTCCCCTGCACGTGAGGCCGCCTTCCGGGACGTGCGGCTGGAGAACACAGAGGCAAAGCCCTGGGGAGCAGGGGGCAGGGAGGTCAGCTCGCTGCAGGGTCTCCAGGTCTGGGAGACCTTCAGTCCAGAAGAAGAGGGAGAGCACCCAAGGTCACCGCCCCCTCAGGAGTGGCCACCCTCCAGCACAGGGTCTCAGATGGTGGAGGCTCTCTGTGTGCCACCTGTGCGCCTTCCTCTTGAACTTAGACCAGAGTGAAGTGAGGGAGGGGACAGGAATAATGCAGAGAATTCCATCCCCCCCACCCCCACATCAGCTTGTGGATCAGCTTTGAAAAGTTTTGCCTTAGATTTACATTCATTCTTTTTCCTCCTTTATTTATGCATGTATGTGAGAGTGAGAGAGGAGCACCCTCCACAGGGTCTGGCCATGCCATCATCCCCGGCCTCCAGTTCTCCAGCATGTTGGATCTTGGGCACTCACATGCATGCCCAGTGTATTTCAGAATGACTGGGCCAGGGATTTGAACTGGTTATCATGTGAGATCCAGCCTCTCTTGAGCACTGCATTAGCACTGGGCCAACAAGCCAGCCCTGACCTCCCTTCATTCTTGAATATCACCCTTCCCTATGTAGAGAGGCCTACGGAGCCCTGGAGCACTCCATCCTGGGAAAGGTTCCCACTGAAGTGATTCAAGAAGGTTCCAATTTCATCCCCAGAGCGCCCCTTTCTTGGGCTGCTACTTCTTCAGATGACATCAGAGGGGCGCCTCGGCTGAGTGGGAATGTCTTTAAGAACTTGGATCGGGAAGGACTCTGGGCAGTCCGACCAGCTGTCTGATCCAGGGCAGGGCTGCATCCTCTGCCAGCTGGAAAACCACCCTCAAACGTCGAAC